CCACTCAAAATACCTACATAATCGGATTAAAAGTTTTATAGCTGTATTGTATTTCTTCAGATACAAGGTGGGTTAGTCGAAAACATCTTAAACTGCCAGTTTTAGTTTGGTTTTTGTTATTATATCATATTAGCTGTCCTCTCTGTATTTCAGTTCTCTAATGAGGGTCAAACTTGCAGTGAGCTATCAACAAATTATGAACGGACTATAGAAAATATTTCAGAAAAACCTAAGAACTTCAATTTCATTTACAAGATAAAAAGTTTACAAAATCGTAACACTTGCTTAGTGTAACACGTGCATCACGTAAACTGCAGAGTGTTGTTGATGTGAAGTTTTTTATCAAAATACCTTATACAAACACTGTTTGAATTAGAAAGTACGCGAAATAGTGAGCTAAGAAAGCGACAGAGAAACAGCGAAATAAGTACGATAATTACAAAGTATCGTTGAAGTACGCTGTTCACTTTGCATCAATAAATTAAAATAAGTTTACAGCTTATTTATTAGAAACTCATGTATAAGTAGTCATAGTTAGTGACATAGAAAATATAGAGCAGTATTTACTTGTTTTTTTTTTCTTTCTTTTGGCTACTTATTTCTATTACATATTATTCCAACCATCATCTAGTCTTCTAGTCAATCACCCGTTTGTTTTTTACCTCAAGACAGACAAAACAGTTGATTTTTTGCTTTGAAAATTTTCTGAAAACATGTCGTATATATTTACCAGGTGAAAGAGAGATAAAACCCTTTAAACCTAATTGAAATTTCACTTCGAATTCAGAAAACTACATTCCGTCATAAATTGAGCAATCTTTACTATATTCATTTGTAGATATATCTGGAGTTCATCAAATAGACAATTTCCGTCCATTTCGCCTCGTCGTACCGACCGGAAATCGAACCAATCGAACTATATAAATATGCATGATAAAATTGCTGATGTCGAATGATTTGTTTTTCCTTCTAAACGATCTTTATCGCATTGAAGGGTTATTTTTCATCGAACGTGGGTTTATTACTATTTTTGATGAATGCCATTTAGCTACATTTGAGTTTAGATACCGCTTATTTATATTTCTGTTGGTTAGACAAATAAAATATTTATTCGACTATACAGGATGTTGAGATATTTTTTAATGAATTAACTGAAATTTCTGTGTAAAATATTGGCAACTCTTATACGAAGTTTGACGTTTCTTACGATCATTATCTCCCTCAAGCATTTTTATAATACAGTTAAACATTAAATAAAATGGATCGTTGGCAGAATTATGGTTTTCACTGTGATAGGGTTAAAAAATCGCAATAGCTTCCTCAAGTATCCACCAGTTCCATTCAATTCCGAAAATGTTCAACAGTTCTAGTTATATTATCGCCATCTGAAGGATCTTGTCTATTCAGTGTCATTTCTTTTCGAGTTTGAAAGCCGTGGATTTTTGGAATTTCTTCCTGACGTTTCGCTAGCGTGAGCGGCTAGCTTTTTCAGAGGTTTAACCATCATGGCTTGCTGTCCCATGACTACCTTTTCGGCTTCGTAAAGCGTATTTATGCCTTGTCAGGTAATCAGTTGTATTTTTCAAACTCGAAAAGAAATGACACTGAAAACCTCAGCCGTGAAAGTCTAAACAATTTTGTCGATCTTGACTATTGTCACCCACGGTGGACTCTAAGTTACCTACCCTCGTTACTCTAAATCTGCCATCATACCTGTCAAACAGCTTTGGAACAATTCCAGAACAATTTCCAACATTTTTGATCACGTCTAGCGTGAGGATTTACTAAATACTCTTATATGGTTTGGCTTTCCAGGTCGTTTGCGGCATTCTAGTTCTCTTAAATATTTTTACTCAAATTGTTTGACAGCTATTTTGTTTGCACAGTGGTCTGCAGGTTTGTATACCAGACGTTTCCTCTACAACTGCGGTTGACAGTATAAAAAACGACGAGGCAGCTTTGATATTATCCTTGTCCTACCTTGGTGGATTTTCGTTTTGTGTGTATATTAGAAAAAGTGTAATACTCACAGTAATGTTTCTCCCTTCGCGGCATGACACAGCACCGGTAGAGGAAGAAGGCGCACAGCAGACAGACGACCAGGGCGGCCCCGCAGAAGACGGCGGCCAAGACGGGCAGGCGCTCGGAAGAGATTCTCCAGCCTCTGGTTGAGGCTGCCGTAGGCTCGGGCCACATGCTAGCTGTCAACGTCACCCACTGCTGTTGCAGCACCACGCCGCCTCCAACATCGACATCGTACGCTGCGCCCTCATCCCCTTAAAAAAAAAATTCAAAGAAATCTGCAAAAACGTGTTGGAGGTAAAATTCTATTGTCGACACTGCCTTCATATTGAGTCATCATCTTCACAATAAAACTCGTTTTGAAAAAGAAAAGAAATGGTAATTTTTTGTCTTTTTTTGTTATTTGTCTTTCACAAATAATGTCGAAATCAATAATTTAGTCAATCAGAAGTCATCGAGAAAATTTCTTGTTCAAACAAAAAACTTTAAATACTTCGAGTTGAAAAGAAACGAACAAAAAATCGAAGAAAGTTATCAATGTTGTTGAAATTCTTTCGAGTCAGTCTTCTGATAAGAAAGAACTTGATCTGTTTGAAATCTGGTTTACTCTATACACTTGTAGACGATAAATTTGCGATTTTTGTCAGAAAGACACCAAAGGAAGAGGTCTTTGTTTCATCTCTCAACAACAAATCCCCGGTTGTTTAGAATACATATGAAATTAAAAAAAAAACAACAGGAATTTGCCATTCATGGATGTCTTATGATCAGAAGTAACCAAAGTCTAGAACTTGATGTCTACAAGAAAAACACTAGAACTTTTATATATATTCCCGATAGTTTATATCATTGTCCACACCACAGAATGGCAGGTTATTAAAGATCACATCGTCATCGCCTTCAATGAACATTACTTATGTTATGATATGCCTATCATGTTCAACTTCAAATTTCTATTAAGCGAGTAACATCAAGGTACAAAAAACTATCAGTAACTAGAAAACGCTTATGTGATAGTGAATTTAAGTTTTGTAAAAATTATGAACGTACTTTGTATGTTAATGGAATCACTATTTCAGGTTTTGCATAATGATACCATCAATATCAATTTGAAACAATGTTTCCGACTCATATTTCACATCAAAACCCATAAAACTTTTTATCCCACTGGAAATGTGTCGAAACATTCTGCATCAAAGCTTTCAAAGTTTATTAAAATAATGATCTATTGTACCAACATGTGTCCCACACAATGTACCGGTGCGGCGTTACGAAATAAAAAAATTAATTGGGGCATCAAAAATGGATTAATGTCCGGTATGAACTTTTGATAGATTCTGAGTATTAGTTTAGAATTCCAATAAAAAACATTCTTTTTTGGATCGTCTCTTCATGGATGTTTCTAATATATTGAGTCCAGGGCAACATGGATTTCGAGGTGAAAAATTTGCGTTGGCAATTGCACAACTGTTCTTTCCATAATTTTCGATATTAATCATACAGTGTATTTCAAAGTGTGTGCTACGACTTGGGGAGTTGGAAAAGTCTTAACATGGGAGTCGCGAATGGTTATTTCACTATCATTTCATTTCAGTTTTATTGTTGCTTAATATAATTGTTATTTTTAACTATTCTTTTTTAATTATTCTTTTTTACTTGTTTCAGGGATTTCAAATCATTTTATATAGTAGACAATGGAAGTCCGAACTAGTGAAATTCATCACGAAACATTGTCAATCACCTTCAAACAAAAATTGTGAGATTACAATTAATACTTTCATTAAAACGTATTTTTCCACGAGGTTTTTTAACTTGTGAAAATTATTACAATTTATAATAAAAATATTTTTCAAGGGAGCTTATATAGTATCACATTCAGAGAATGCATGAATGAAAAAGGGATTATTTTTATCATCGTCATGTAACTCGTTGTAAGGCATTATTTTTGACTGGGTAAAAAAATATTTTGTTTTATCAAGTGCTAAAGTTACCGGTAGCAGCATGTCGATGTCGAGTAAATAATCGATTGTAGTATAACATATATATGTATACATATTAATCTCATTCATCAATAATATATCCCTCAAAAACATGTTTGAAAACAAACAATTAACAATGACAATGTTGTATCTTTCTTTGTTCTTCAACCACATGGTTTTTACCGGTAATCCAAAATTTTAAAACAAATAACGATTTTTAGTAAATTAATTCAATAATTTTTTGGGAAAGAAGTTTTTGGCTTTCTACTACTCCATCTGATACAAAAAAAAGGATGAGAGAATCTTCCAAAGAAAAGAAGGAAGTAATCAATTTGAAACTCTATACATGAATGTGTAGATTATGAAAGAAACTGAAAGAAAGTCCTCCTGAAACAGCTACTTTCATATAAACATTGAATTACACGAATGAAAATAATTCTTTCGAAACAAATACTTCTATATGAACACTGAATTATACAGAAGATACTTTTCTCTACTCAGTTTGTATTTCAAACATTTGTTGTGGAATAAGAATCAGATATCATTCACATGAGTTCTACTTTGAATGAATGGTAATAAATTGTACTCACATAGAACACTGTCATCCGATGTTTCAGGAGGACTTTCTTTCAGTTTGTGTCTGAAAGTTACTTCTTTGCATGATCTACACATTTATGTATAGAGTTTCAAATTGATTACTTCCTTCCTTTCTTTGGAAGATTCTCTCATCCCTTTTTTTTGTATCAGTTGGAGTAGTAGAAAGCCAAAAACTTTCTTTCCCAAAAAATTAATCACTCCTAAAAATATAACCCCTTTAATTCTAATTCAATAATCTTCTTTATCATTGAGGAATCAACCTCTTTTAATGTATTGACTTGTTTTATTGTATTGACATGTTTCAATTGTTTAAATGTAACATTCTTTTCAAAACGGCCATCCTCACAAACAGTAAGTTGAGCACTTTTATAATAATTTTATATTGTACTGTCATCTTTCAACTTGTCTAATATTATTTGCAACGTGTATGCTAGTAAAAATTCCAATTTTGTTCAGTTTTACTTTTAAATTCACTTATTTTCGAATTCCGACTTTAACCTTTTCTTCCCTAAAATAAATCTAGCAGTAGAGGAATTATTTCACATTTAAACTTTAATCAACGATGATAGTTCATTTCACTCTGAATTATTTATATTGAAACCATTCCCGGGTTTCTTTTAAACCCTGTTTTATTAAAGGGATTAAAAAGTCGACCTTCAGCACGTACGCAGCAACCTTATTAGTGCTGGAACTTCAAAGGATCCAGCAAGGGTTCGGAAGTTTCGATAAATCCGAGAATATCGGGAAATCGATATTGAGTCACTGACTCAATGAACACGAACGAAGGTTATAAACGAGGGGTCATAGATAGTTATCATTTATTTCAATGGAAGCCAGTGGCGCATGGTGTCTATTCGAAAAATTTCCACTACTTAATATCTTCCTTATAGGAAACAATATGAAAAATCGACACGACAGGTCATTTTAACATTCAGAGGAACAGTTTCAAGGAATATTTTAGTGTCGTACTTCAACCATCTACGAAAGGTGGTAGAATGTCAAATGAAGCTCAAGTGACATATATCATCTTGCAGGGCTTTTTATTATCTTTTCATTGGTTTTCTGATTTATTAACAAATTATCAAGAACAAGCAAAGGCTTTCCTTATTACTTTGAATCGGTTACCTATGTGTCGAATATCTTTCAAACTTATGAGCCTTCAGCTGCATAGTGTTTTGTCTAACACTTAGAAAACTATGTTTTGTCTAACAATTGGAAAATTACAATTATTCAAAATTGAAGTGAAAATATTTTTTGAAACGGTCCTCTTGAAATGCAAATCAGCGGGTTACTGACGTAGTTATAAGGTTGAGACATTTTCAAATTGGAACTATTTGCTGTTAAATTTGAGAATGGATGAAGACAAAAGTTACTAGAATGTTCACTCAGACTGGTTCAATTCGGAAACTGTATCGACTCACCTCTGAATTCCATTTCCTGGTTGTATTAAACAGGATGACTCTTCAGCGGAATTCCGAATTACCTACATAGGAAACTCATAAATATCAGAGATACTAATTCAAATGTAGTAGTTCCACCAGCCGTTTCCAGCAATTTATTTTGCACATACACGTAAAGTTTCTCTTAGAACTATTAGTAGGCAGATATAAATGTATTGCTAGGCGAGTAATATATTATTTCCCTTTCGATGAATATATGGAAATTATCCTTGATAATAAAAAAAATGTTCACACTTTTAACTTCACTAAAGACGCGTTTCGTTATAAGTAGCTTCCCTCAGTTAAACTGATGAACTGATCACAAAATTAAATCTGCAATATTATCTTTGGATTATTTTTGTTTTTATGAATTGTATTGTTGATGTTTTGGAAGCGGTCCGAAAAATAATATTTTCAACCGCTAGGAATAAACATCGCACCATACTTTTGTCTAGTCCAGGTTATTTATAAACTCGGCGCCTTATCTATATAAAGACTATGGCGTTTTGGGAATCACAGTGTCATATTTATATAGAAACATTTCTGAATTGAATTTTCTGCAGAAAATTGTAGCACGTGGCAAAGACATTAAGCAGTTATACAAATCAATTGATAATCAAAAACTTCCCTTCTTTTTTGTCTTTGCCTTCATTCCTTGACAGATTACAATCCATACAGAAATAATTACAAATTACAAAATCGCGACACGTGTTTCTCTATACAATAGCTTCCTCAAAACAATTGATGTCTGAAGCTGCTTGAAAAAGCTGTTGTCACAGTAGATGTAGCTATACTGTGCTGTTGTATAGCAAATAACATGTCGCGGTTTTGTAACTTTTTGTAGTGGAAATCACCATTAACTATATTATTATATGTTTTATTTAATATGTGTTTTATAAAGTATCAGCCTGATCCATTCAATTTTTGAAAATTTTTCATTGATTTTCTGAGAAGTGTTTTCATTATCACAATTTCTGATCGATGGTTTTGAAAGATGAACCTTAATAATTTAAAACGAGACAGAAAATAATAAATGACGGTACATCGAATTGCATGTCATCTCAGACCAGGATAAATACACTAACACAAGATATAAAAATATTTCATTAAAAAAGTCAGCAACGCAGTACTTAGTATGATTTCTCACTGAGTATACAACGCTTTTTTTAAAGATTATTGATCATTTCATTTTCCTTATCTCCAGTGGCAGTTGCTCGGTAAATCCTTTCAAATCAGAAC